ACATCAGAATCTGAGCAGGGAATGAGAGAAATAGCCTTAGGGAAAATCAGCCCAGCATCAAGGTCAATGGAAGGAAAACACAGTAAGTTGATGAAAAATAAACATTTTTAAAGTAGAAATTTTAAACAGGAAAGCATCCTAAAGAAACTACAACCCCAAATTTATAAAATTACATATTTTCAGAAAAAAATTATGCATAATTTTATCTGAACTTTGAGAATTAAAAATTATCACTAAAACTTAATAAGTGACAGAGCAATAAACATTTTTGTTTTAATTGTTAACTTTTGATTTCACATAACCTTCATTCCCCAGTATGCCTCATCAGCCTAATAGATGGCCATTCCTTCTAACAAAGAATTTTTTAAAAAAAGAGAGAGAAAATTCAGCAAAACTAACCAATACAAGTCCAATATTGTATGCAGAGTTACACACCCATAGTCAGTCCTCTACCTCTGTAAAGAAAGCAGGGAGGCATATTCTCATATTTCTCCCTTTGTAGCCAAAGTTGGTCTTTTAATTTGACAGCATTCAGTTTCCATCTTTTCGTTGCTGTCCTTTCCAATTACACTGTTGTAGTCATCATGAATATTGACAAATTTTTTATTCAAATCTTCCTTACATATAATTATTAATTTAACTAGAATTTTAAAGAACTAGATACTTACAGGAAGCCCTTGTCTTCCTATATCACCAGGAGGACCAGGTTTCCCAGGTTCTCCCTGAAAAAAAAATTTATGTATTATCAGATTAAATGTTACTTGAGTCATAATTTTGTTACTTGGAAGATAGTAATAGCATATACTTTCTATGTATAAGAAGCAGTATTTCATAGGAATAGAGAGTTGGCCTAAGAGCTAGGTAGATTTAAGTCCTATCTCTGGCACTCATTAGTTGTATGATTCTGAGTAAGTCTTTCAACCCCTCAGTGTCCTAGGCAACTCTCAGTGACTATAAGCTGCAGAGAGGAGTTCCCTATAGTATCAGGATGTCAGAAATCACAGGTCCAGTCCCTTTCCTTGTCCTTATCCCTGTGTCATGTATGTGAGAGGAAACAAATGTGCTACAAATTCATAGATTAACTATGTAAAATAATACACACTGGCAAAACGTCATATGACTCAAGAATATAGCAGGAGCCATTATTCACTCAACAGTCATACCCCATCTCAGTCTACTTTAGTAATACATCATTTTTACACTACGGAAACCAAGCAAACTTGCTACAATGACTAACATTGTAACACTGTGGCTCATTTTCTTAAAAAAGACAATTGCACATTGATTAAATCAGGAAACTACCTTTGATCCAGGCATTCCAGGGATTCCATCTCGACCATCTACCCCTGGCAAGCCCTGGATACATAAAAATCATATATGGGAATTAGGAACACAGGCTCTTTCTTTCTTTGGCTACTTGGTAAATTCCAAAACAATTTAGTAATTATTTAAAAAGAGACAGGCTTTCAAATAATAAAAATAGAAGTATTAACATTATAGCTAACATGGCTGAAACACTTTAAGGTATTCAAAGTGCTGCATATAAGTACATACATTCTCTCCTTTGGGACCTGGGAGACCATTTATCCCTCTAGGACCCTGAACACCCTGAAAAGGGAAGAAGAGAAGGGGAATAAAGGCATTTAAGCAATATACACAAGAAACATCCTATTGTCAAAATAATTATTATAGTTCTATATGTAATAGAAATAAAGGTTTTCGTAAATGCAGGGTTTGAGGGTATTTAGAACTCACTCTGTCACCCTTGGGGCCTGTTTCTCCTAGTGGTCCTCTCTGCCCTTGATCACCCTGAAAGAAATACATTTCTTATTAATAATGCAGAGGTTGTAGTCCTTTAAAAAATAATAAATCAGTATGTATATTACATAATGTAGTTGCTATTTTGTCCCCAGTGTTTTCCACATTGCCCTAGAATGAATCAATATTTTAAAAAATATTGATATAAAATGAAATTAGCTTGGCTATTAATGCTTCCTCATTGACTAAACTGTAAGTTCACAACTTTGTCAGATTCCTTCTACATTTTCAAGCTAGGACCTATAACACATATGCTTATGTGTATCTCTTTTGTTCAAACTGCAGATGACCTTAAAATTAGCCACCAAATTTGCACACCACCAACATTCATTGAAAAATGTCAACCAGGGGCAGCTAGGTGGTACAGTGGATAGAGCACCGGCCCTGGAGCAAGGAGGGTTTGAGTTCAAATGTGACCTCAGACACATAACACTTACTAGCTATGTGACCCTGGGCAAGCCTAGCAAAAAGAAAAAAAAAAGAAAGAAAAAAGAAAAATGGCAACCAAATGTTCAGAAATTCAGTATTTTATGGGAAAAGGGTCTGGTTCCGGAAAAGATTTTTCCTCCATATTATTTCAAGTGCGTTGTCTATTTTTGGTATAAACTAATGTTGATATTGAGCTCTTTGAACTTTTAACCATAACACATACACAGTAATCAAAATATATTATCATCAAGACATGAAAATAATTCTCATCAATTACTCTCAATTTTTTATTTGCAGCCTGGCATGGTAGAGAGAAAGACAAGCTTAAAGACTGGAAGGCCGGGGCTCAAGTGCGGCCTCTGATTCAAATGCTGAGTGGCCCTTGGCTACTCATTTAAGCTCTCATCGTTCCAGAACATATCTTTAAGATGAAGTTGTAGAGAACACGCCAACCTGCACAGGTGAAGGAAATTGCCGCCTCTGGAGTTCCCTATACCAGTAGAATCACAAGTTCAGTCTATGTCCCTGTCTTCACCCTACATTTACTTTGAAGTATCATAATACGGTGATAGATTTTTATTGATTCACCCACACTCTCTTGCCTGATCTTCCTTAAGACCAATAGCTTATATCTGTATTAAGTTAGAGGCATCATCAGTATATACAGAGCATAATAATCCTACGGTGAAGGTAGTGGTATATCATAACAATTACAAGAATAACATATATGAGAATTAGGAACATAGGCTCTTTAGCTATTTGCTAAATTCTCAAAGCAGTTGAGTAATTATTTTAAAAGAGATGGGCTTACAAATAATAAAAATGAAATTATTATTGTTATTATTATAGCTAACCTGGTTATAACAATTTAAGGTATACTAAGTACTGCATACCACAGTCCCACTGAACTGGCCTAACTGCCCCTCACGTATGACCCTACATCTCCCACTTCTGCACTTCTGTCTGTTTCCTGTGGCTGGAACGTTCTCCCTCCTCATCTCCGTCTCTTAGAGCCCTTAGTTTCCTCCCATGTTCTTCTCTCTAGCCAAGAGTACATTCCACCCCAAGTGACCTTAGGTCTATTTTAATATACTGATATATGAACCTGCTATCTCCCCTTGCTAGACAGTCAGCTCCTCAAAGGCAGAAGTTATTTTACTTTTCTCTTTATATCCTCAGAACTTAACACAAATGTCTGGCATATAGTAGACATTTAATAAATTCATGTTGGTTGATTGATACCCAAAGCATTTTGAAACATGGAAAACAATTGCAACATCTATCATTCCACCTCTTCTGTTATAATTAATAAAACAACAACACATTCCCCAAAATCAAAGCGTTGAAAAGAGAAAAACAACTTACAGGTGCACCAGGAAGCCCCTGAGGCCCAGGCTCACCATCAAGGCCACGAGCTCCCTGCAGAATAGAAAATAAGTGATAATAAGATTCACACAAAAATAAAACCAAGCATTGCAATGAAGGGTTGGTTATAATATATGAATATGATGGAATACTATTGTGTTGTAAGAAATGATGAAGGGGATCATTTCAGAGAAACCTAGGGAGCCTTATATGAACTGATGCAAAGTGAAGTGGGCAGAATCAGAAGAACAATTTATACAATAAGAGTACTATAAATAGAAATGTCATTGAAGGACTTAGAAACTGATCCACACAATAACCACCGCCAGTTCCAGAAGACTCATGATGAAACATGCTATCTGCCTTCAGATAGAGAGCTGATGGACTCAAGTGCAGTTTAAAGCATGTTAGTGTGTGTGTGTGTGTGTGTGTGTGTGTGTGTGTATGGGTGTGGGTGTGGGTGTGGGTGGAACACAGCTAATATAAGAATTTGTTTTGCTTAACCATACATATTTGTAATGGATTTTGTATTTCTTGCTTTCTCAATGTGTGAAAGAGAAGGTGAGAGAGAAAGAATTAAGAACTAAAAATAAAATAAAATTGAAAGAAATGTCATTAAAGAAATGAAAAAACATTTTTAAAAAGAAATGAAATGTCATTTTAGCCTTTCCCCAAAATACATCTTTAGGGCTGACTTACCAACCTGGAAAGTCAGTAAGTCCTTAGGCCTAAGAGTTGCCTCTAATTGACTTTCAAGTACCCTTCCTCTAACATGACAGTTCTTAAGCTTTTTGTGTGTCAGAGACTCTTAGCAGTGTTATGAAGTCCTAGGACCCCTTCTCATTTTTTTAAATGCATCAGATAAAAGGCAAAGTATTATAAAGGAAATTGATTATGTCAAAACTAAGTTTTCAAAATAATACTTTTTTTTAAGTTCATAGCCCCAGGTTAAGAACATCTGCCTAACAGCATACACTAAGAAGTAGTCAGTTAAGCAGTTACCACATTGATGCATCAGTCCAAATTTGTAGCTCACACCATGAAAAGCACTTGAATGATCATACTGCTTTGGTCTGACACATCTATACAGCCTTTAAGAATTTTTTTTGTAAGTTAATATTGCTATTCCATCAAGACTTTAATAACAATAATAATAACAACTAATTATTATACTAACTACACTCCGGATACTGTAATGAGCTCTTTCCAATTATTATTTCGTCTGATCTTCACAACAACCCTGTGAGGTAGGTGAAATTAATACCCCCATTTTACAGATGAGGAAACTGAGGCAAACAGGTTAAGTGATTTGCCATGGGTCACACAGCTAGTAAGTGTCTGAGGCCAGATTTGAACTCAGGTCTTCTTGAATCCAGGCCCAGTGCTCTATCCAACTATGCCACCTGAGCCTAGAAGACTGATAATTAAATGAAATTTTTAGAAGTTTTGAGACATAAATAGCAACCATTCTGCAGTCACATTCCCAGAGTTTCTAGAGCATCTGGGCAAATCTGATAGTGAGTCAAGCTCCGATAGACACTGCAATAGCAGCAGTTCGGGCTTCTGTTGCTACAGTTGCTTGCAGGCATTTCTGAGACTCCAAAACCTCAAATCACACCAGAAGTCAGAATTTCAGGCATGTCCTACAAAATCTTTCCACTTGACATTTTTACTCCCATTTTTAAGCTCCAGTTCTTGCCTTATTCCTATTATTATTTTTTTTTACAGTGGACCCCCACCAAGAGATGACAGTTAGATGGTATAGTGGGATGGAGTGCTGGGCTTGGAGTCAGGAAAACCTGGCTTTGAGTCCTACCTCACTAGCTACCAGAGCCTTCAGCAAATCATTTAACCCTTTCAACTTCAGTTTCCTTATCTGTAAAGTGGGGGTGATAATAGTACCTACCAGACAGGTTATTGTAAAGATCAAATGGGATCATGCATATAAAATATTTTGTAACCCGAAAGTATTACATAAAGCCAGATATTACTACTATAATAAAATTTATCTATGTCTGTATACCTAACAGTCAGATCCCTCCTAACGCAGATTTGCAATAGCTTATTTCAATTACCACTTCAAAAGATAATTTCTGTCTTTTATTATCATTAGCAGGGTGAAAATAATAATCCAAAGATAATTAATGTGATCCATTATTAAATATGAAAATATTGATTAGCATATTATTAAATGTGTAAATATATTATTAAATATATAAATTATAAAATCCCTTATACATTACTTGAAGAAATGTGGCATGGTACTTTGGAAAGGGCATTGTCTTTGGAGTCAGAAGGTCTGGTTTTACCTCCTGCTTCTGAAACTTACGCTAGCTCTACATCCCTTGATGAATCACTTAAACTCCCATCAGTTTCCTCCTTTGTAAAACAAGAGGGTTGGACTGGATAACCTCTAATAGCCTACCATACCTAGAACAAGGATTCTCTGATCCCCAAATGTTACAACTCTCTCTACATTTTTTCTCATCAACAAAGTAGGGACTTAAAACAAAAATAAAATAAAAAGGGAATGATGATCACCTTAATATCGAAAGGCAGAAGAGACAGTACAAGGATCATTATTGTTTGTACAGCGCCTCAAGATTCTTAAGATCAGCAAGATGGAGCAGTAGATAGAGCGCCAACCCTAGTGTCAGAATGACCTGAATTCAAATCCAGCCTCAGATAATCCAGCCCTGGACAAGTCACTTAACCCTGCTTGCCTCTGTTTCCTCATCTATAAAATGAGCTGGAGAAGGAAATGGCAAAATGCTCCAATATCTTTGCCAAGAAAAACCCAAATGAGGTTACGAAGAGTCAGACACAACTAATCAACTAAACAGCAGCAAGATTCTAAAGGCATTGTATATACACTATTTCACTTTATCCTCACGAAAAGGTAGAAGGCTATTCTTCCTGCTACTAAGAGAAAACTTTAAAATTTGGATCACAAAAATAAATGGTTTGATGCTGAACTAGAAAGACGGATTATTAGTTCTCACAACAAGGTCAAAGTTATTATTCCCATTTTACAGATAGGGTAACTGAGGTTGGGACAAGTAAGTGACTTGCCCAAGATCATACAGCTAGTGACCGAGGCAGAGTTTAAACTGAGACCTTCATGACTCCAAATCTAACATTGGAGCTACTATACCACCTAGATTTACACCTTTACATGATACAAATAAAGAGAAAATAATCTAATGGATAAAACTGTACCAGGTTGATGAGAAAACATAAAAAGAGACAAAAGAGGAGATAGATATTGAAGTAAGACAACAGTACAGAAAAGGCAATGGTGAGCATTTAGAATTCATAACACCTTTACTATGATTCCAAACTAGTTATAGACCAATTGAATCTGAGGCACCCAGAGAATCATGACATTCGCTGATCCTTAAGAATTAGGAAAGAGCAAAATGTTACTCTGCATTCCCTTAGGTGAAGAATGAATGATGCAGAAATAATAAAATAGCCCTTGTAATTCATCATTCATTTATGTAACTATTATAGAATGTAAGCTCTTCCAGCAGGGAGCATTTCACTTCTGTCTTTGCATCCCCAACACTCAGCATAGCGTCTGACACATAGCAGGTAGTTAATAAATGCTTGGTGAGTCCAATTGAATTGAATTGTGATAGGAGAGGAACTCTGACCACAAGAAGATAGCTCTTATATCAGAATTCATGAAAGAGCATTTCTGTTTGAAGGACAACTTGGTAAAGACTAAAGCAAAGGACTTTTTTTTTGTTCAAAAAACACCAAGTGGAAGAAATTCTCAAAAGAAAAACGTATCAGGTGCTGAGTAAAGTGAGCAGAGCCAGGTACTGTACACAGTAAGAACAACAACGTGCAATGACTGACTTTGTTAGACTTAGCTCTTCTGAGCAACGCAATGATCTAAGACAATTCCAAAAGACTCATAATGGAAAATGCCATCCACATCCAGAGAAAGAACTATGGAGTCTGAATACAGATCAAAGCATACTGCTTTCTCTTTTTTTTCTTTCTTGTGGTTTTTTTCCCTTTAGTTCTGATTCTTCTTTCACAACATGACTAATGTGGACATTTAAAAAAAAAATCAGGAAAAAACTATGCTTTGCTGCCAACTGGCCTTGAGATTTGAGGCAAGTTACTCTGACCTTCAGTCTTTCCTCATCAATAAAATGAAAAGTTTGGATTTAATGACTTCCAAGGTCCTTCACATATCTGAGAACCTATATTCCTAATGCTAATTAATTTTTTCAGTAAACGTTCATTTGTTTTAAGAGATGATTAAGATCCAAAAAAGTGAGGTCTCTAGCAGCAACTTGAAGTAGAATTAGGAAACAATATATAAATGAAAGGACACATGGGAAGAAAAAGTGACTTAAGGGCTCCTAAGTTCACGTTCTCCACAAATGAGAAAAAATGTGTTTTTGAAGGCAGAATTGTATCATGAGGGACAGGGAAGAAGAGAAGGGTGCTGTACTTGGAGCCAAGAAGATCTGGTTTTAAAACATGGAATATTTCATGAATCTGTCATTCATATACAAGAACTGGATAACCCACCTCATTCTACCATTATTTAAATGGTATTTGTTTAAATCATTATTTAAATAAAATCATTTAGTTTTTAAAATCAGTAACTGGAGCTAAGTATTCATAATCATCTTCATAAGTTTCCAGACCTAAAAACAGAATGGTGAGGATAGCCTACTGAGCACTCTTAACTTAAGAACAATGATTATGATAGATCACATGCAATGACCAGAAAACATAAGAATTAAAGTGTTTTGAATGATTCTATAAATAACAATGACCTTAAGCAACTGATGTGCCTAATAACAGGGAAATAGTTGAATAAATTATGGTACATCCAAGCAACAGATTATCATAATGCAATTAATACTAACAAATATGATAAAGGTAAAGGAAATTGGAAAGACTATTGTGAAATAACGCTATGCAAAAAAGCCTAAAGACCAGCATACATGCTAAATATGAGGAAAGATGAATGTGAATGAAGAATCCTGATGTAGTCTTAGAGTAACTAAAAGTTATCATATTTAATGCATTTAAATTAGCTAATACAAATGTATATATTTACCTGAAAAAGGTAATTAGTTGTATGACTTTTCAATATTAAGTTTATAATAAATAATTTAGTTTTTTAAAAATAAAATAATTTTTATCTTACTTTGTCTCCTTTGGCCCCAGCTATACCAGTTATTCCTCTCAAGCCTTGAGGACCCTAGAAATTAAAAAAAAAAAGAAAGAAAGAAAAGAAAAGAAAAGAAAAGAAATTTTAACTGAGATGTATTTTATTAAATATTTTTTATTACTTCATGTTTCCTCTGGAGTAGTCTTTGTGCTGGTGAGTGGATTAAAGTCTATATCCCTCTATAAGAGACAATCTTTAAAATTTGGATGGCAAAAATGAATGGTTTGATACTGAACTAGAAGATAGATTGTCAGTTGACCTAGGCTGAAACATTTGAAAAGCAGAATGTTTTTATAAGTAAAATGCACATTTGTGAATGGTAATATCCCTTGTTAGGAAAAAAATCACAAAGGCTTTCCTTGGTCTTGAAAAGTAAAAAAAATGATTTAAAGAGTGTCCAAATAAATATTCATGCAAAGCTAGAACTGGTATATGTACTAATAACCAGAGCTGTAACTGATTTTTTCACACACCTACCAAAACTTACATGCTCAGGCCCAAATTGACAAAAGGCTTGTCTTCTAAGACAAAGTTTTAAGACTTCTAAGAGTTCTTTGACATATAAGTTGTTTGGAATATGAATGGATTTTCCCATAGGAAAAAAATGTTATACTTGATGGCTGTGTAATTAGACCAATACACTTGGCCTCAGTAAATCATAATAATGCACTTGAAACCTAGTACTAAAATTTCTAGAATAGAAACATAGTCTCTATAATAGAAAATATTATAGATAATCACCATTTCACAAACAATTTCCATGGGAAAAATGGATTTCAGGATACCAGAGACAAATATCTCATGGCTCCCTTATGAACATATTGGTGTGTGGGTGTGTAGGTGTGTGTATCTGTGGGTGTTATGGGTAAATGCAAGAAATAGGGAAGAAATGCAAGTTTGGGTTGTTCCTACAGAAATGTCAGGGGTTCCAATAAGGGATGGGTTATATGCCTGCCCAGACACCAGTAACTTCTCAAATGTTTACATTTGCATAGAAGAAAGTAGTTCTCTGGTTTAAGTAATCATGAGGTATTCTGAATTAGGAAACAAAATGCAGTCATGATGTGGAACATAGAGGCCCTTCCCAAGTCAGATGTTTGTACCTAGAGGAAGCTGGTGGTGGTAGAAAGAGTGCTAAATTTTGTGCCAGAGGACCTGGGTTTGAATCCTGGGTCTCATGTGTATTATCTATGTAACTCTGGGAAAGTCATTTAATTTTTCTGAGTCTCATTTTCCTCAGCTGTGTAACATTTAACAGATGTTCCAGCAGCATATGGGATCCTTGTTTCATTAAATCAATCAATTTTACCTTAGCTGTCTGTGGTTACTCACTAAGATTATATGCTGCATGGATTGAAGAAGTTTGCTTACTGGGAGTTCCCTATACCAATGAAATGACTGATCCAGTTTTCAAACATCACTAGAGTTAAGGCAACGCATTTCCCTTTAACAAATATATTCTATTAAACACCGATCGATACACAGAGTGCCTCAGGAAACTTTGGTCACTTTTAAGCTTTGATATCTTTTAATAAACTTTAAAAACTTAACATTTAAGTCCTCTAATACATCTTTTATCTAAAAAAGAGGCAGAATAGAAACAACTTCTTACCCTTTCATTCACCATTCAGTTTCCTCTACCTTGAATTTTAGCTTGTTCCTAGGCACATCCCAATCAGCAGAGCTCCCTGAATTAGGGAGTGCAAGCGCAGCAGAGAAATAAAGCAAGTGGCCCAACTTCTTCCAACTTCATATGTTTGGGTTCCTAACCTTTTTAGATATTTTTCTCCAGGAGAGCAAGAACAATGTTTGTTTCCTATGTCTCTCCTTTAATGGTGAGTGCACAGCCATGTTCAATGAATGTTTGGAAATTATTGCTCCTATGATTATGGTTATTTATTCCAACAGGGAAAACAGGGTATATTAATTCCACCCTCATCTAGTGCTTCCCCAAAATGGACCAGTCTGGCATAACATAATGCTTTGAAAAGAGGAACGCTGTTATTCCAAATTAATTTACTATGCATATTATAGCAGCGAACTGCTAAAACACAAGGGAATGCCTTTTTATTAAAATACATGATTGCCAGCAATTAAGAATGTTCTAATTAGAATGATAATATGCTGGGTTAAAAAAAAACTAAACTAATCAGTCTGATCCTACCTACTCCATATTCAAGAGGCATGTAATTGCCAAACGACAAGTGGGTAGGCTTTTGAACATGGAATATATATGGAACACCTTTCTTTGCTCTGTGGATAGTCTTTTGGGCACTTAAACCTTAAATCTGTTTTTTTTTTAAAGATTTTATGTGATCATAAGTAATAGTGCTCCAATGGAGACATGACTTTGATAGAAAAAGTCACATCACAAACAAATTGGAGAAGCAATGAAGAAATTACCTTTCAAATGTATGGAGAGGGAAATAGTTCATAACTAAACAAGTAAAGATCACACAAGATAAAATGGGCAATTTTGATTATAATAAAAATTAGAAATGTAACTGATAACTGGAGAAAATCATCTTTGCAATAAATTTCTCTAATAAAGGTCTCATTCCCAAGCTATATAAGGAACTGATTCAAATTTAAAATACTAAAAGCCATTTCCCAAAAGATAAATGGTCAAAGGATATTGAACAAGTAGTTCAAAGGAAGTTCAAATCTCTTTCAAAGGAAGAAATCCAAAATGCTCTAAATTACTGATAATTAGAGAAAAGCAAATTAAAGCAACTTTGAGGTTCTAACCACACCTATCAGACTGGCAAAGATGATAAAAAAGGAAAATGACAAATGTTGGAAGGAATGTGGGACAACAAACAGATGGAGCTATGAATCAGTTAAGGCATTCTGGAATGCAATTTGGAACTATGCCCAGAAAGTTACTAAACTGCATACCCTTAGACTTCACTATACCCCTGAATAGTGGTAGATACTATTTTATCCCCAAAGAAATTAAACAAAGAGGGAAAATATATATTTATACAAAATATTTATAGCAATTTGTTCCATGTTAGTCAAAAATTGGAAACCAAAAAGCTGTTTTCCCATGGGGGAATGGCTAAACAAATTATGGTATATGGATATAGTGTAATATTATGGTGCCATAAGGAATGATGAAATGAACATTTTCAAATTAAACTGCAACCCTTATGAAGAGATGCAAAGCAAATTAAGCAGAACTAGGAGAACAATTTATATAATGATAACATTATAAAGAAAAGCAACTTTGCAAGACTTTAGCACTCTGATAAACACAATGATAAACCACAAGACCAAAATAATTGAGATGAAAAATGACACTCACCTCCAGACAGAGAGGTGAAGAATTTAAAATACAGAGACTTATGTTTATGGACATGGCTAATGGGAAAACTTGTTTTGCTAGACTATATGGATATATGTTAAGGGATTGATTTTGGGAGGTCTTTTTTTTAATTTGCTCATGGGGGTAATGGGAGGGATAGATTAAATTTAAAATACTTATTATTTGAAAAATGGGAAAAAAATTTAAAATAAGTTACAATGCATAACCCTCCCCTCCCCAAAAAAAAGTATTTGGCTACATATTGGCGCTCTCTCCACCTTTCCAAAAGAAGTAGTTTACCAAAATCATGCGATGTTAAAAAAAAAAGGGGTAGGGGTACCAATGTGGATAAGAAAAACTTAAAAGTTTTTATTTGAGTGATTTTAAACTCTTAATCAGTAATATTACTATACAAATATTAAAACATTTAAAAGACTTAACAATCAACAAAATGTACATAATTCCTTACATCAGTGGCCTTTTTGCTGCTCCTCACCCAGGACATTCTATCTCCCACCTTTGCTTTGGTTCTTCCTCATAATTTGAATGCATTCTCTTTCACCTCAGCTCTTATAATACTTAGTTTCCTTCATAGTTCAGTTCAAGTTCCTCCTTCCACATGAAACCTTTACTGATTTCCCGAGATGCTAGAGCATTATCTTGCATAAAATTATCTTGCATAAAAAAAAATTTGTATGTACCTATATTCCCTAACACAATGTAAGTTGCTCAAGAATGGGGACTATTGCAATTTTGTCTTTGTATTTCTACTGAATAGCATGTTTCCTGGCACATTAATAAATGCTGGTTGAATGTTTAATGAATACCTTACCGGAGGTCCTTGAGCTCCCACTTCTCCAAGTTCTCCTTGGTCACCCTCTTCTCCCTAAAAAAAAAAACAGTAAAAACAGAGAAATGTCATGTAAAAACAAGCATATTGATATCCTTAGTCTAGTCTAATTTGGTTTTTAAAAGTTTGCTTGCCTGTACCTTAAAATACTCTAAAGATAAAATACTAACATGAGAATATTGCAACAAAGAGCCCAATCCTGCCAATGAAAACACACAACAATGCTTTAGCCTCCATGGAGCTACAGGAAATCACATTCAACCAAATGATTTCATGTGATTAATCTTCTCCAAATGAATTCTTTATAGAATATAAACTTAGACAACTTGAACTTCTGCATTCTCCTTAGCAATAATCCACAAAGTGACACAATTTGACAAGAGCTGCTTTCCTTTTAATAGCTTTTCCTAAAAGATGCTTTAGGAAACTCAACTTCATTTCTATTTTCATTGTCCCTTTGCTGCATTTTAAGAATAATCCACCTTCATTTCTCTCAAGGTCTAGCAGTGATAGTTAGAAATTTCTGCAAAGGAAACGACAGTCAATTCCAACTATCAGCGTTAATGGAGAGGAACAAGTGATTCAGATAACCTAAAGCAGTGTATAATGCAAAAATCAGTTATATTTGGTGTAAGAGTATATTATAAGTTTTTTGCAGATGATTTACTTCCCTAATTATGTTAAGATTGCATTCCCTAAGTACCAATAACTGATAGTAGAAGGACACAATTCAAATAGTTGGCAAAGGACAGCAGTCTGGTACATATGAGTTGTTAGGAATAATTCCCTAAATGGATAATACACACATGGATGAGCAACAGTTGTCTGCATACCTCTAAATGATTACCTCTGTAGAGCATTTAGGGTGGCGGATGGGGGGAAGAATCAAACAAAGATAATTTGCTGTTTGTGGGTGGTAGATTTTATTCCTTAGTTTATTTTTTATTATGTTAGCTCTCAATTCATATGATTAACCCCTAGAACAATAGTGTACCTGTATTTGCATCAAATACAAAAACCTGGAGGTTGTTATTATTATAAATCTGCTAAATAGATAAAAACAAGGAAAGAGTGGTAAAGTGGACCTAGGTTCCACTTAAATTCAAATCTCAGCTATACTTCTTACTCCTACAAGTGTGAACTGGGGGAAATCCCAAAGCTCTGTGCTTCAGCTTTTTCATCAATAAAATTAGGGGGTTGTGGATCTCAAAATAAACACTCTATATACGTTATCTCATTTGACCCACTTAAAAGCACTATTTAAATGCTGCATGATTGTTGTTATCATCATCATCATCATCATCATTATTATAACGTGAGATCACAGGTCATAGGGTAATTGAACTGACCAGGATGACCCTATATCAATGCAACCACAGGGTTACCCCCCCAAAAAAAAGAATCCTATTTTAATGGCAAGTTAAAATAGCTCCTTATTGGTCAATTTTCAGGTCACCTTTGCCAGGAGGTCTAAGGTCTGATCCTCAATAGGGCAGTTCAAACACTGAAAGTACTTCAGCCCAGTAAAGTGGGCATTCAGATAAAGCTGTTCCTTACAAATAAACCTGCTTTTAAAGCATCTTCACTTGGCAAATGTTCAGATTTATGCATTTGATAAAAGGTCAATTTGCATATCTAATGCCTCCCACGGGGCCTACACAGCAGTTTTCTGCATTCCTTCATAGCTCTGTCAACAGTCTAAACACTAATGTCAAATAAGAGCCTTGGAAGCTCTTTGTCATCAATTACTTGATCCTTAAGGTCCTTAAGCACTTATTGAGTGTGCCTCCATTCAAAGATAGGGTAAATCCTTTGCTATTCAATCAATGACTGCTTACATGGCCTACAATTGTATAACAAGACATCTCTGTGTATTCTTTCAGGTGGGAAATTTAACTAATTACCTAGAAATACAATCCAGTAACTTCTATTTAAAATGCCAAATATTGTGAAATCAGCAAGAATTTGAAAGGAAAAGGGAATTTACTCTGTGGCGTATTTAAATATATGTATGCTTCAGTAGAATGTAAGCTCTTTGAGGTCAGGGACTGTTTATCTTTGTTTCCCTGGCACCTAGCATGGTTCTTTGCTCATGGCAAATTCTCCAGAAATGCTCATTGTATATGCACAAGGTCAATCCAATTGGCTAGACATCTATAAACTTCTTGAGTAAATGTTACAGGAGCATCATTTGCACACAGACTATCAGACAATGGAAAAATGCTCCTTAAAGTAAATGTTGGGTCAAAATGTTGGGATGGTTTTTGTTGCTGTTGTTGTTGTTATTGTTGTTTTGTATATCATATAAGACCAAAACTTTTCTGTGGTTCTCTCTTTACAAACATAATGGAAGTCAACAGAAAAAATATATATAATTCCATATGCAAGCATTCCCTTTCAGAGATAACTTTTCAGGGTTACACAATGTCTAAGTAAGGTTAATATGTTAATAAGGAACATGTTAATAAGGAAAGTGAATCTTCTTTGTGGTTCCAGTTAACCTCATTTTAGGGGTTATTAGGTAACTAGGAAAGAATAAGAATCAAGGATGATAAAGTTCGTATGAGATTTCAACAGACATTCAAACTTCCTGAGGATGCAACCAAAAGTTCTTCTTTCTGGACATTCATTTCCCAATCTGACATTAGGTACACACAGCTGTTGTATTACAGATGAGTCAAACAGCTCAGCTACATAGGGACTACAAAAATATGAAGTTTGGCAATGATTGACAAAACCCTAATTTGAGCTCTATACTGTGTAATAGAAGACAGAAGATGAAATTAATTGATACAGATTATTTGTGGCTTTTCCAGACTACTAGCTGAATACTGTTTATGGATATTAGAAAGCATGGATCTTTGTCATCAGGTCCTTCTTTAGTCCCAAAAAAACAGAGCAAACTAAAGATGAACAAAGTGCCCCCCCAAAAAAGGAATATATTTGCCAAAAATCCAGAAGTCTACCATTTCTAAGAATAAAATAATGTGAGCCATAGCATGATATAATACCAAGCATTTCTATGGTTCTTTAAGGTTTCTAAAATGTTGATCTCATTTGAGATAGTAGCTAGAGTGATGAATTTGGAGTCAGGGAGACCTGAGTTTGAACCTTGCATCAATTAGCTTTCATTGAACCACTCAGAGTTTCAGTCTCCTCACCTGTAAAAGTGGACAATGATCGTAGTAACTTCACAGGTCATTATGAAGATCAGCTCTAATAATGTATATAAAGGACTTTGCAATCCTTAAAACATTATAGAAATGTAAGCTGCTATAATCATCATCATTATTACTATTATCATTATTACTAATATTCCATAACAAAAAAAAAAACCTCCATTTTTTTTCTTCCATGAAATCAACCTAGTTTGATCTGAACTAAGTTTGAATCCCCTGGATTTAGAGTAACTCATTTGCCAGTTTCTTTTAGGGTGTGAGACAGCTGAGTCTTTATGACTCTTACCAATAAGTCACTAAACCTCAGTCCCCTCAGTAGTAAAATGTCAAGGTTCATATCTGGGTCTTCCTCAGTTCACTCTATTGCACAACCTCCTATTGTGGTAAGGAAGCTCACAGTGATGATATGTGGACTACCTAGCTCACGAAGTTGTAGTGAGGAAAACTCTTTGTTAACCATAATATGCTATATAAATATAAGTTACTATTGTATCTCCATGGAAGCCCAGGAGATGGAAAGGCAAGCACCATTCAAGTAGCATTGGTATTGAATATGTTTGTAGGCTAAAAAATGCAGTTAAGTGTTTTTTAATCCTCTCTAGATTTTAACCTTGACTCTTCTGTTGGGAAAGACATCAGATGCAATTTATGGTAATGGATTTCATAAGGAGGCCATCTTGCTATTAAGTTAATAAAATCATATCATTTATGCCACCACCAAATTGTCTGGAAATCTTCCCCCCAACTCTCAGACTTAGCTATGCAAAAAATGAGAACAGAAAATAAAAAGAGGTATGACAAGCGAAAATATTTCTGAGCTAGAGCTGAGGAACCCTAAAGTTAAAAACCCATTATAAAACTCTCTTTTGGCTGATGCCATCAATTCCCTACACACTTGCAATAAAATGACTGAATGAATGAATCAGTTAGCTAAATAATGATGAAATAGTAGAAGTATCAAGGAAGGTAGCCCAACAAGAATGCAATTCACTTGTGAAGGAAAAAGAAGACAGCAAATAAAAAGAAATACCTAAATGAATGCAAAAAAACTGTGCTTAGTTTGCTTCTTATAACTGAGCTACTTTAAGTATATCAAGGCAGGTCAAGAATGTCAGCATATGCCTCTACAGACTCTGCATATAGGGAGGAAAAGATGCCATTTAGTAATGGCAATGCTGGTATTAATCACTGCTTCTCAGTGCCAATTTTCCAAGCAAATATTTATTTTTCTTACCTTGTGACCTTGTCTTCCTGGTTCCCCAATTTCTCCCTTTGCCCCTTTGTGACCCTACAAAATATAAAAAAATAATTATTTTTTCAGTTCTTATCTGTCACTAGAGGTTGCCCTAAAAAAAAAGGTGTCCTGGCATCCCCACATCCATAGCAATATGGTACTGAAAAAAGAGCCATTAAAGTCAAGAGAAAAAAATTATTGCTTAAAATACCCCTTCAATTCTCATATTATACGGGTGGATGGATCTCACATTATCCATTGTTCAAGTTACCTGCAGCTTATTTCAATAACAGCTGCTTTCTGTTCTCTGAGGCTATTTTTCACACTTTAAAATTAGCTAGTCATAAACCTCAGGCATCTAGAAGCCAGGAGGTGGCAGTCTTGATTCAGCTACCCACCCCATATCTCCAAATAAATGGAAAAGTCTCTGAAAAAATATGACCAGGCTCCCTCCCATACACATATACACACATAACCCTTTCTGTAAAGAAAGTCATAGGCAAGGTCATTGCCAGCTGTGTGATCCTATCAACCATTTCTGAACATGAAGTGAGCTATCGAGTGGTTCCCATAAGGGAAACTGGAAGTGGTCAGCAGTGGCAACAGGAGCTTTGCAAGTAGCTTCAGTTGTTCAGTAGCCTCCTATGGTATGTGCTCTTTGGGTGGAAACCCAGGTAGTTTGTCTTGCTCTTGGCTTCCAAAAGCCCATCTCATTCCAGAGTTGAAAGTCTTTACGGAAGAACATTACCCTGCCTAAACAAATCATTCCCAGTTCCGGAGATCACCAGAGGATGATGAGTTCTACTGCAGGGTCAGAATAATTGTTTGGAGGCAGTGCTCTTTAGACTGAGGCCACTGAGGATCTTTACCGGTAGATCAATCATTTTCTCCTGGTAGCTCTTCAGACTAGAACAAGGGCTTCCTCTGTGTCTCTCTCAGGGCTGGCTCTAAACCAGACTGAGCTCAGGGACTGGGAGAAGAGAGAGCAATCTATCCCACCACAGAGTCACTTGAGATTTGTCTGACATACTCTCTTTTGGGAGGTTGAATATTCTCCCAAAAGAGAAACAGACATTGTGAGTGAGAAAGAAGGGTTTGAGAATCCTGCTACTCCAACATACAGTGTCCTATTATTTGTATATTAAATATTTTCATACACAACATTTAATATTTTAATATATGTTGTTAATATTAATTATGATTTAATAATTAACATTAAACATTGTTGTATTGGTATTTATGATTAAGTTCATAATTTTTAAGAAAAAATTTAAAGAACAGATTTATTTCTATTTTATAATCTCATTTTATCTCAAGCTTTAACATTTTTCCCCCTAACACCATTCTGATTAAATTCCCTGCCTGTACATTTTTAGCACCTGCTTCCTAAATGGACTAGATTAATTATGCCAAAAGATAGACAAACTTCTGAATACCTGATTTTTGTAATTCATCCAATCCCAAACTAAGCACTTTATTGGTGTTTTCCTTCCTGATTCACAAAGGAGTCATAAAACTAAAATCTCCACATTAGCAGGGAATCCTATTAGCTATAGTAAGTGAAATATGTTAGTAATGCCTAAGATTATATTCACATAAACATATTATTCCATCAGAGGGATTTTCTATCAATATGATCTCTATACATGGAAGAACAGAACCCAAAATAACCCTTTTTCCCTGATAAGTCAGCTCTAATATGGCTCTGGAGGAGAAAGTGAGAATGCTAACTTTGCACAGCCCCCCCTCACTCAAATTCAATTCAATTGCAAGTCATGTTGTCATTTCCTGATGTCATGGTCCTCTTCAAGAATGAAGGACAAACCACAACCACAACTCTAATAAATGTAATAATCAAATTAATTCCCTTACCCTTAAGCCTGGTAGACCTGGATATCCCGAACGACCTGGTGGACAGGAATTGGGACACTACAAAAACAATCACACAGAGTTAGGATTTTAAAACCAAATGGGCCAATCAAGTAAAAATTTTAAGAAGTTCCAATTGGCACATAAAGAAAATTAAATTAATAAGAATGTATTTGATATATTCCCTTTCAAAATTTCATTTCACTAGTCCAGTAGTCTATTTCACCAGTATTGATTACAAACATGTTAAATGAGAGGCAAAAAATGGCATAGTAATTAGAGATCTGGTTTTGGACTCTGAAAGGCCTGGACTCAGATTCTACCTCTAATTTCTCACTGTCCTAGGTCAATAACCTCTAAACTTTTTAAATCACGAACCCATTAGAAAAAAAATGAGCATGTACTCACAATATATATTTATTTATAAATTATATATATGTACTGCTATGTGACTCACTATCCGACTCAAAACAAAAAGTAGAATCAGACAGAGACCTTAGTGTTGATTGCCTTCAGCCCATCCTCAAAGGAGCATATCTCACAACAGAGAGGTGTTCTAGGAGATGAGGACTAAAAAAAAATGCCCTCCTTAACAATGGAAAATCATACTGAAATAGGGGCGATGAAATAATAAATGTTGGTTCAGTTCTGAGTGGGGCCATACAAGAAGAATGGAATAATTCCATGCATGGAAAAAGAACCAACTAAGCCCTGTATTATCCACTAGGAAACTGTGCTTGGATACAAATTACTTGGCCATCCAGATACCGACGAAAAAGGCTGCTTAGACAAGCCTTCCTAAAGAAGGAACACATTATTTTTGATGGACACCATTTTATTCATAAAAGCAAACATCTTACCAATGGATCCCCATCATGAATCCCAATTGTTCCCTAAAGCAAATAAAAGGAGCAAATGTTACAGAATATTCAGAATCATAACTTTTCAAATAAACCAAATATAATTGGTTCAAATATCCATGGCCAAATGGTGGCAGAGAGGCATCTGCCAATAAAATAAATGAAGATACTGGACAATTAACAAGATACAGCAATCTAAAGTCTCCTAATCATGGGACTAGTCTTTTGAGGGAGCTCTATAATTGCTCTTTCGTACTTCAAGGGGTTCCCCCCAAAATTGTAAGGAAGAGGTTTGAGTCCTAAAGGTAAATGAATTCTCATCCACTCCCATCTTGAATTTATTTTTAAATTTTGTATACTGAAAAATATTAATTTTTCACATAATTTTCTATCTTTAAAGGATTCATGCCTTCAATAAGAGATGAAAATAGATAGCCACATTGAAAAATGAGGCTTGTTATAAATATGGCATAATAATGATGCTTTATGTTTACACTCATTTCTTTGTTCACTTTACAACTACATTTGTCAAGTTTGACTCTCTGGATCATGGAAAGATCACAAATCTAAGAACTTACACTAGGTCCTGGGGGACCTGGAGGGCCAGGTGGTCCTCTTCTCCCGGGATCACCCTAAATATTGGGGATAGAACAAGTAAATGTTTATACAAATGGCAGCTCATGACATAAAAACACAGAAGAAATGATGAGGTACACAAAAACCCATGGAACTCATCAAATGCTCAAAGCAAGCAAGGAAATCAATGAGTCCTCTCTAATCTAATAATCTCCACAAAACAAGAGCAAGATAATGGATGAGTTCCATCTCTCAAGTTAATAAAATGAATCTAGACCTGAACAGAGGAAAATAGGGAAGCCAATTCTATTGGATAGGGTATTTATATATCTGATATAAAGGAAAATTTTAAAAAAATTCTTCTATTTGATTTTTATGCTTATTTATAAAACCAGAAAGTATTGATAGTACTGTGAATACTTAATTATAGCAAAAATATTTCCTTCATCATGAAAAAATTAGCCTCAAATTAGAAATAGGTTCATCTTTGCAATTAGTGTCTGCCTCATGCCAATATTTTTCATATCACATTCATCATTTGGACTGTTATTATACTCACTTAGAAAATTCCAAGTAAGCTATGAAGATGGCAATGTGTTTTAACTGGTCTTGAACCCAAAATTTATCCATGGCATATGATTTCTTTTTTCTTCCTATTCTGCCACAAGAAGCCACTAAAACATTTTGAATCATTTCCACCTTATGATTATTTCAAATTTGTTTCCCACTCTACCTCGCCTATCCACAAGGGTAGTCCCTCCTTAGATCTTACCATCACTTAATATTGTTCTATCTCCAAAATTTTAATCTCTAAAAGTCCTTTCTCTGATCATACTTTACTGTCCTTCCATCTCTCTCTTCCTCATTTTTCCTAAACCTCTTTATCTTTACTGCAAACTCTGATACATCTGCCCTACCTTGTTCCCCCATCCTATCATCTCTGCTCTCGTGTGATTTTCTGCCTTTCACAGTCTTGACTCTAGAGTTAACCAATTCTAATACTATATACTATGCTAGTACTGTGAAGAATATGTGATACAGTCTGCCCTTGTGGAGTTTCCAAATTCTAAACATTTATATGATGTTACTGTAACAATTATGAAATGTTTACTATAAGAGTCGATATTTTAAATATTTTACTTTGGAATATGTAAGGTGTTCTTTATCCATGGTTATGTCTTTATAGCAAAGAGGATCTACATATAAAGTATGCTGAATAACACATTGGGATTTCAATGAATTCTGAAATCCAGAATGGATTTCAATTTTAATCTGACCCACAAATCTGATACCCAAAACTTTAGCCCTAAAGAATGTAAATATGATTTTTGGTGATTCTATATGGTAGAGGAAAAGCTATAGAGCAATATCAATATATCAATATAATGAGCGTTGGCTTTTTATACAGAAGTCCTAGATTTCAATTCCAACTAGAAATGTGCTACTAAATGTTTTAACCATCAGCTGGGGGGAAAAGGCAATGCATATACAACACTCTTAAATTTAATCTGCATTATTAACATTTTTTAAGTCTAGACAATCAACAAAACAATAAATTAAGCCCTAATTTGGAGCTTTGTCCATTTCCAAGGTATAAATACTCATACTGAAACTGTAACAATTAGCTCTCACAAGCTAAATTAGATCTAGTCCAGAACATTCCTGATTCCCATTTTATTATTTATTAGTTGTGAGATCTTATGCCAGCTACTTCAACTCTCTGAGCATGAGTCTTCTCATCTGTAAAATGGGGTAATAATACACCTACTTCCTACCTCATAAGGTTGTTAGGGAATTCAAATGTGATAATGGATTTAAAGTATTTTGAAAACCTTATAATATATACAAATTATCCACTCTTACTATTATCGTTGTATTCATGACACTTTAATATAAGTGGTCATAATTTTAGGCTATTAATTCTTCATTTCATATAAATGGTCTAAAGAAAAGAATCTGGCCTGGGAATTAAGAGACTTATTCAGTCATACCCAACCCTTCCTGACTTCATTTGGGGTTTTCTTGGCAAAGATACTGGAGTGGTTTGTCATTTCCTTCTCCGGCTCATTTTACAGATGAGAAAACTGAGGCAACCAGGGTTAAGTTACAGAGTTAATAAGTGCCTGAGGCTGGATTTGAACTCAAGTCTTCCTGACTCCAGGCCCAGCATTCTATCCACTGTGTTCTATTCACTGTTAGAGACTTCACCAATTAGTGGTATAACCTCTGGCAAGTTACTTGACCTCATGTGACAGAAGCTGCTATATTAACATTAGATCAATTGTTCTCAAACATTTGGTCTCAGGACCCCTTTACATTTTTAAAAATGATTGAGGATTCTTTCCAAAGGGCTTCTGTTAATGTGGGTTACATATTGATATGTATTGTATTAGAAATTTAAATGTCTTAGTATTATTATGAAAATAGCTTTGACCTTATGAGCCCCTGGTCCTTGGAACATGCTTTGAGAAATAGAGCTTTAAAGCATTGCTAAAAATAAATGTTTTAAACAAACAAATGTTAAAACAAACAAATATGCTGGACCATACTTTGGAAAAAAGCAGCAGACAATAGCAAAGTGACACTCCTCTCCCAAGAACTCATCACTATTATGAACTAAAGGCAAATACTTCTACATCAACAAATTTGCAAGGAACCATGTGTATTTGTAATAATTTCTTCCTTATCGATATCTTCTAAAAAATCAACAAACATTTATTGAAAAGTAATCCATGATACTCACAGATGGCCCCACACGACCAAGTTCTCCAGGAAGTCCTGATGCACCAGGAGGTCCCTAAAGTCAATACATTAAAAGGAAATCAATGATTTAAAAAAAAACTTTGTCAAATCATGTTTAAAATCTGATTTAGATATGTGGCCTTGGCAGCTTGTTCTCCCAATGAGAGAGTAACACATTTTATAAATGACCAACTACTCTATGTGGACCAGACATTTCATAAACTAATCCAAAAGTAAATTTCTACCCAGAGACACATAGCATAAAAGGATTGCCACAAAATAATGGGGAAATATTTAAAGTCACCAGAAGAAAGATTAGCAACAGGATTGCTGCAGGGCAGAATATTATTTATGGAATAAAGCTAAAGAGAGCTAAATATGGAACATTCTTTTGTCTAACCTCACCTTTTTAAATAGCCTAAATGTTCTATGAAATGATACTTACAGGTGGTCCAGGAATACCACGACCCTGGAAAAATGAAAAATTTTTTTGTTTTATATAATATAATTTATCCATGCACATGTAAATAGACATATGAAGATATTTCTTGAAAATAAATTATATGGAATACTATTGAACTATAAAAATTATAAGCTGATTAATTTTAGAAAAAAATAGAAAGACTTGCATGAAATAATGAAGAGTGAAATGAACAGAACCAAGAAAATGTGGTACACAGTAACAGCAATATTGTTCTAAGAACAACTTTGAAAGATTAAGTCATTTAGAGTATTATAAATCCTCAAATCAACTACAAAAGACCTGTGAAAGAAAATGTTATCCACATCTAGAGAAAGAACTGATAAATAGAAGTATGTATAGTATGGTTTTACATATATAATTATTTATTTATGCTAAATGGTAGCCTTCTCTAGGACATGGTGGGGAGGAAAGGAGAAAAATAATTGAAAGTACACAGCAGAAAACAAAAGAAAACTTAGAAGGAAGCACAGAAAAGCAGGGTAGCTTTGAAAACAACTCACAGTATTTGTTACATAGTGGGTGGGGCAGGGTTTAAAGCAAACAGTATGAAATGGAAATTCACGGTTTTATATTGAATCCTCTTTTTATGTTGTGCTGTATACATGAAAATATTCTCTTTTTCTGTCTTTGTATTTAAGTTCAAAATGGATTGAAAATTTTTAAAAAGAAAATAAACTATAAACCATATCACCAAAGATAGACATTATACCTATGTTTAAATTTTTTTTAATATGAAGTGTTATTTGTAAAAAAAAAAAGACAAACAAGCCTTCATTTCTAAAAGATTAAGTTCTTAGAGTATTACTAAGGGAATAAGCTAACCAGTTAGACTTTTCTCCCCAATATTTTACTACTTCAAGGGCCTGTTATTTCAATGGTGTGGGTGTTCCCTCTAATGATACAGATCACCACAGCTTCTCATTTTGGAGATGATGTTTATGTGTTATGGTGATGAAAGGAGTTACCATCCTGCAGTCAATCACTCAGCAAGGATTTATTATGTGCTTTCTATGTGCCAAAAACTATAGTTGCTAAGTGAAGTGGGGTGGTCCATAGATGACACAAATGGTCTGTCATCTGTTGCCAGGGCATTACTAAAAGTCTTCTTAGTACAATAGAATCTGCCAGAGCTTGAGCTCGGTTGGCAAAAACCCAAGATCTCCTGCACACTATGATGAGGCAGCAGAAGAGGACTTGAAAGGAAGAATCAGCAAGAGATGTTCCTTTTAAAAATGTTTTTTTTTTCTGTTTTCTTCTTTAATGAAAGTAAATGAAGACATACAGTTTTGCTTACAGAATACTGGCAGCTGTAATTCACATTCATAGGGGTGTCACATTTGATGATGATTTAAAATGCTTTTTTTCATGTTTTCAAATGCAATTCATTTTCATATAATTATGACTACAATATGAGATAGGATAGAAATGGATCTGTGCTTTCACTGGATAGGTCACAGAGGTATCAAACTAGCAAGAAGCAAGCAGCCGGCAAGACTATGGCAGAGTCCATGCTGGCAGAGTCCAATGCTAGCAGAACCAGATTAAAATATAATTGGGAAATGTTTAACAAAATAAACAAAAAATGCAACACAACATAGATAATGTTAATTTGTGGTTTTCTAAGGGATCTCTTTCTATTTTTTGATACTACTCAATAGGAAACTCCCAAGTGATAAAACTCCCTCTATAAATGCAGGTCAGCCTTTTTCAATTTGAAGTCTCAGAAGGCTGACTGGAGTGCTGACAAATCAAGTGACTTGCCAGGGTCACACAGCTAGTATGTGTCAGAGGTGAAACTTGAACCTGAGTCTTCTTGGCTTTAAAGCCAGATCTATCCACTATGCCCAGCTCCCACTTTTGTAAACTTACGAATGCAATGTGTTAGTTCCAAAGAGACTTGGGTTAAATAAAAAAGTTTTCTATGTATTCATGAAGCACAGAATACTCATTTCGGTGCCTAAGAAGAGAGATCCACCCTTTTAAAACAATTGGAAATTTATGCTGCAGACTCCTTTGGCCCCAGTAGTTATGAGAATTAAAAGTACCCTACCTCCACACACTTTGCCATACTGAATTTGATCTTAAATCAAGTCATGCTGTCTCTGTTCTGTATTACTGAGACACTTTTGTCATAATACTCTACCTAGAACGCTATCCCTTTTCCATTCCCTTCTCAATCTGATCTTTTTTTCCTGGGATCTCTCCTGGCGCTTTAGTCTTCTGTTCCTGATTCTTTTCCTTCCAGGTAGATGTCTCAGAATCAATCATCTTTCCTGCTACCTTTGCAAAGCATGGCATAGTCCATTATAATGGCCATATTGGGAATCAGAGGACCTGAACTCCATTCTTCACCGTACTACTGTAGCAAGGTCACTGTAGCCATATGACCTTGAGCAAGACATAACTTCATTGAGGCTCAGTTTCCTCATCTGCAAAATAAGGAAAGGAGAAGGGAAAGACCTGCCCTCTGCCTGCCTCCTAGGGTGAAGATCTAAATAAATTATGTGTGTAAAAGTGTTTTGGAAACAACAAAATGCAAGAGAAATGTAGGTGATTTTTATTACATGGGTTTCTCTTAAATCTTCATAACTGAAGCATCCAGTAAAATCCCTAGGGATTCTGTTGGTGAATTGTCTACACAATTAGGTTTTTGCTTTGTTTTGTTTTTATTAACAGTGGAGGGACTTTTAGAAGGGTGTGTGCATTGGAATTTGAAAGGGTGGGGGGGAGAAGATAGAGGGAAACTTTTTGAGATGGATGTGGATTGAGATTGGGGGTGTGTGGTAGAGGATGGGGGGATTTTTAGAGGGATAGATGAAGTAGGGGATGGAAGAGTGGGGGGGAGAAGGTAAGGTAACAGGGATGGGGTGAAAAGAGAGGCTAAGAAAGAAAACAATGAGTAAAACAAGCAATTAGTTTGATAATTTTAACTGAATTGGCTAGTTATTCACTCCTTCATTCAGTCCTTCACTAAGTGAACCTTTATTTAGTTACCGTTACACACTGGGCTAGGCAATGAATCAGTAATAACTGAGACAGAGCCAAAGGTAAGCAACGTGTTTTTAAAACTGTTATTCATTAGATGTCCTTTTTGTAACAATATTTATTGAAGAGGTATACTTATTTGCACACATTTCTTATACAAAACAACCAGACTTAAATGATAAAAATGTGGAAGTGATAAGTTTTGCTAAAAAGAGAATGAAAATACATTTGTTAACTGTAGACTACTAGTCAGTAGGTTTCAAATTAACAAAGAGATTTGGATTTTGCAAATGTTATAAATCAAGAGATTTGGTTGGTGAAAAAGTAGTACAAGTTATTCACTTCAGAAAATAATTGTAGGGGCAGCTAGGTGGCGCAGTGAATAGAGTTCTGGCCTTGGAGTCAGACCTGAGTTCAAATTCGGCCTCAGACGCTTAATACTTACTAGCTGTGAGACCCTGAGCAAGTCACTTAACCCCAAATGCCTCACCAAAAAGCAAAATCATAATAATAATCATAATAATAATTATAGCATATGAAAGTCTGATAGTAAAATAAAAAAATGCTAAGACATAGCGGGGAAGCTCAGAGAAAAGAGAAGAATGCAGAATTTAAAACTAAAAATAATAATTCATTAACAAAAAACCAGTGGATGAGAAGTAGTTTGCCAGCTCATTTTCTCTGTGAGGCATAGTTACAGTGATCTATGCTGATGACCTGGCCCCATCAGTAAATCTCAGCCTAATGGTACAATGTGGAAATGACAAGTCGGAGAACAGGATAAGAACTCCCAGGAAAACTGTTTTTCATTAGAGTTAAAACCAAGATGCAGGGAGGTTACCACAATTTATTCATGACTATTAGACCTCTGCTCTTGGTTTATCATGGTATGGTTTTTCTCTCATGCAGCTATGCAAGAATGATTTTCTTCCCTAAGAAAAGATTGGGTTTCCTAGAAAAGGAGCACTTAAGAAAACTGAATAGTAACCAATCAACCCCTGAATACTGTATTGTATATCTATGCACTTTATACTGCACATTCAAATTTCTCCAGAATTATTCCACTCACAGAAAGAAGTAAAATCTCATTACAATGAATTTCAGGGTAGTGTTTCACTTAATCCCATGCAATTAATTTCTGTAGAATATTTATTTCACCAGGCAAAACTTTAACTGTATTTCTATGTAAAATGTTTCACTAGGAATATCATAGAGGCAGAATTAAACATTATCAGGCTTTAAATTCATACAGCATCTAAAATGTTTTACTTACAGGAAATCCACGTGATCCTGGGACCCCAGGTTCTCCCTAAAAACACAAAATAATTTCTTTTTATCTAATTTTCAGAAGAATATGTACAATGTGGATATGTGCAGATGTATATATAGGGTGGGAATGAGTGGATGTGTTGGGGAGTGAGGTTTGCCCATGTAAGATATAATGGCATCTTTATAAATGAAAAATCATTTGTGTGCCTTTCAAAGACATTTCTTCCTCAATAGGATTATTTCCATTATTTGAAAACTAAACTAATATACTTAAGGAAATTTTCCTAAGAATGAGTCTTAAACATTAGAGAAAAGGCCTTTAACTTACTTTTTGTCCTCTTGGACCAACTGAGCCAGGTGATCCATCAGGTCCTGTCAAGCCCTTTCAAAATGATATATGTACTGTCAATGTTATCCCATATAATTCTTTGGCAAATTGCTATGCAAGTAATTCTGCTTAAATGCGTTAAATATTGTTATGATTAATGGTACAAATAGCTTCACAGGAACACAACTCCATATTTTATTCAAAGAACAGCAAATTCTAAAGACTTTTGCCTGTTTATGTACTGTGAAATTAAATCAATCTATTAATAAGTTTTGATTTGACAAGGACATTGTGACCAATTCAATCTTTTGCTTTCTATATTAAAAAAAGATTCCTTCTGGTCCAGTGGATTAAGTAGTTTAACACAATGTTCAACATACCAGCTATATTTTGTTGGTTCTCTCTGTCTCCATATTGTAAATATTATCCTGGATAATTCATTACGACATGAAAGCCTTTATAATTAAGTATGATCAGATGCAGAATATGCATTCTTGTCTTGGCTCCACCATTCAACTACTAACTGTACTTTATTTTCTCTATTTATAAAATGGAAATGATATTTGAACACTTGTCATTTCCCTACTCAGTTTAATGAATTTCCCTACTGATTTTAATGAAATGTTTTAAAAATATTTTTAGCTCCTCAAAAGGATTCTATAAATTGCTATCATTACCACATAGAAACCTGGTGCATTTACCTCCTTTCATTTGTGCTAAATAAAACATAATTGTGTTCTAGACAGAACACTCATGGTTCAAGGGATATATAATAATCTCAAAGGTAATGCTTGAGTAAATTTATTTATCCTTTTGGTTATAATGTATCATTCATGCCTGAGTCTACACTCATTTCATTGGTGGAAGGAACTTATGAGTAAAATAGTGGAAGGTGATTGGATATTGAATCAGATCCTGACTCAGTCATTAATTAGCTGCGTGAACTAAGACAAGGAACTTGTCACTGGACCTCAGTTTTTTCATCTGTAGAAAGAGGAGTTGCACTAGATGACCTCTAAGGCTTTTTCAGCTCTAAATCCTATTAAAATGCATTTATTCACATCATTAATTCATATTCACATGCCAACCAAATTCTCTTTAGATTCAGAGCTTAAATCTGTTGTTATGAAATTCTATGTATGTACTATAATTTTTATATGCCTTATCATCATCTGAGATTCCCTGTACTGAGAAGTATTATGGTAAAATGGAGAGCACACTAGATCCAAAGTCAAGAGAGATCTGAGTTTAAATACCACCATTAATACTTACTAATTGTGTGATCACAGTCAAATTACTTAACTTGTCTGAGTCTCAGTATGGAGATAACATCTCTAAACGGAGACGGCAATAATACCAAAGCAACTTGTTCAGAGGGCTATTACGAGAATCAAATGAGATAAAAGCTAGCTAGCACTCACATGGAACTTTAAAGTTTGTAAAACACTTTACAAATTTTATCTAATTTTATCCTTACCAACCCTGGGGAGGTAGGTGCTATTATAATTTCCATTTTATAGATGAAGAAACTGAGGCAGACAAAGGTTTTTAAATGACTTGCCCAGGGTCACAAAGTTGGTAAGTGCCTGAGACCAGATTTGAACTAATGTCTTAGACACCAGGTCCAGCATTCTATATGTATTTAGATACATAAAGCACTTTGCAAAACATAATGTATTTATACAGATGAAATATATTATTCTTTACTTTATTTCAGTTAATTCTTGATTGCTGAAGTACAGCTGAATTTAGAAAACCATGGTCAAATATGTGTCTAAGTTTCTGTATTTGGCATGGCATTTAAAATTTATTTTACTGTTTTCCATTTTTTAACATTTTTCTATTCTTATTCATTTCTAGCTGTTGGTAAATAAAATAAAACTTAACAGTTGTAACAATTTGGACTTAAAAAAACAAAAGAGCAAATAATATATTCTGAGAATCACCTATTATCCAGTTTCTAACAGAAATTATTAAGCAACATTAGTTTGGGAGTAAGGGTGGCAATGTAACAGAAGTCTTGAAAAGCCTGAACGCAACACCTAAGTAAAATATCATTAAGGAAGAAAAAAAAACTACATTAAAGCTGTCATGTTCTCTGCCTAAAGGCATGGAGGAGAATGTTTTTATATTAATTCATTTTGAAATTTATTTCGTTGCTTGTTACTTTATACTTCTCCACAGCAATTAATTTTCTGTAATAATCATGTAGACAAAGGAAATGAAAAGGGAAAGATTTGAGTTCATAAAGTTAATTACTGGACATTTACAAAAGGGGAGAAAAATCAGACAGGCAGAACAGCAAGAATTTTTGACAAGCTTTCTTTGATTTTTTTAAGCTTCATAATCTAATTACAAGATTATAATTTGGCAACAGGACAAATGGCCACTTGCTGAGTTCCTATTATAACATCAAAACAGCTATCTTAATTTTACCCAAATAAATCATACTTTTCTTGAGAATGTATACATAAAATAAGATACATTTTATAAACCTGGGCCTCAATATGACTGGTACAAAAATGTCACTCATTATAACTTACCTATAAGCATAGTCCTATGCACAAATATTGTAAGATCAATAGAGATAAATTCTCAAAAATGAAACCTTTTCATCTTGCTGGAATGTTCATAAAAGAAATGCTGAAGCCATGATAATGGTTCTGAACGCTACATCAAACTATTGACTCGGTCCCAAGTTGATGTTCGGTAGTGGTGGAAAGAATTGGAGACAGTCTCGCAAAGGTAAGAGGCAGAATGTTTCTGACAACTATATCATTCTCATAAAAGGGAAAGTTTCCACATGGTTAACCAGAGGTCTGACTATTATACCTCTTAAATAGCACGAAAATTTATTACAGGAGTTGACATTTCAGGAGCTAACTTTACTCAGGATCAAAATGGAATTTTTTAAAATAGGCCCAGAAAAACTATGCAAGGTCAGTCTGTAATTCAAGACCAAAATTTGGCAGAATACAACTCAGAATGGATCTTCACAAGTCTCTCCCCACCCTATTCCAGAGGAAATTAGGTTGGTCCTTGTGGGAAGACATCTTCATACCCTGGAATCATCTTTTGTTCAGCTATCTAACATGTGCACGTAGAGAATAAACAAATGCTTGAAGGAGTGACTGAAACAGAAAGCTCTATGTTAGAACAAAGATTATTTCTACATATCCCTACCCTGGTAAGAGTTGACACTAATACCTCTATATTATAAAATTTGAAATATAAATGTGTGTTGTGTGCATACACACCCACAAACATATAAGTGTAAAATTATAAATCACACACACACATACTTGATATTTGTATCTCCAGCACCTAGTACAGTGCCTGGCACACTGTAAGTCAAGTCACGTCAAGCCAACAAGCATTTATGAAGCACTTATTGTGTTTCAGATACACTGCTAAGCACTGGGGATAAAAAGAAATGCAAAAACAGTCCTGCTCTCAAGGAGTTCACAATCTAATGAGGGAGACAACATACGTATAGCTATATACAAACAAGATACATACAGAATAAATTGAAGATAATCTCAGAGGAAACACGCTGATTAAAGAGGAATGGGAAAAGCTTCCCATAGAAGGTGGACTTTAGAGATTGTGGTTGTATGTGGTTTGTCCTTTGTTCTCAAAGAGGACCATAACATCAGGAAGATGATGACACGACTTGCAATTGAATTGGATTTGAGTGAGAGAGGGCTGGACTGGAGAAGATTTGTAGAAAGCCAAGGAAGCCAGGAGGTGGAGATGAGTAGGAAGAGAGTTCCAAGGATGGGAGGCACAGCCAGTGAAAATGGCCTGGGATCAGGAGACAGAGTGCTGTTTTGAGGAACAGTAAGTAAGGAAGTCAATGACACAGGATCAAAGAGTACATGGAGGGGAATGACTTGTAAGAAGAGTGGAAAGGCAGGAAGGGGCCAGGTCATCAAGGGCTTTAAAAGTGAAACAGGATTTTATATTTTATCTTGGAGGCAACAAAGAGCCTTGATAAATATTTTTGATCAATGGGTTCATTTCTTCCCAGTTTCTTTTCATTTTCACTCTTCTCTGTTCTTTCTTATTTGAATTGCTTTTTCTTTTGGAAAAGATGATTTTGTCTTGCTTTTTTCTCTCTTTGTTTTGGAGAAAAACTGAGAAGGTATGTTCTCTTCTATCATTCTCAGAGTTCCCTTAGTTTTCTGAGGACTAAAAGGCTGAGAAATCCTTTTCCTCTTGTGTTTTCTGCCTAATCAGAGGCACCCCAAGAAGACTGAACCAATGGAATCCTGGGAAATATCTTTATTGTTCAGTCCTATCTTGCTGGACACTCCAAGCTGAAGCTTCCCCTCATTCCCAATATTGTCTCTGAATGAGTGAATGTCTTCTCTTTTTCATGAAACTTAATTCTGCTCCTTTCCCTTTGATGTCTTATCTGCCTGACCGTAATATGTGTGTGATTTACTACTAGAAATCATTAAAGCTAAGTTCCTAATGAAAAGTAGTTATTTGGTTAAACAAATTCCCATTTTGATTTTCAGTGCATATTTGTCTTTAAGCTGAACTGTCCCCAATAACCTCCTGAATGAGATCCGTAATCAATTAAAAGAATTCAGTTGAATTATCCACAAAAGAAAATGTCCATTGTCCAGACTATGATATACAGTCAAATGGATAGCCATAGAGTTGATCCATCAGCACCTATATCTTCAAGAGACACTAAGGATAGACATTGAATTGGACCCAGAACATCATAGGAAAGAGGCTTTGGGCTGGATGGACTCTGGAAAATAGAGCTATACTTTTAATGACCCCAAGCTTCTCTCTGAATAAAAGCCCATGTTTTTTAAAAATGAATATTTTTCCAGAGAAGTCCTATGCCTGAATATCATGGAATAATACTAGAGTACCCCAAAAATTAAAGTTGTGAGTCATTCAAAGAACAATTAGGAGGCTCGTGGTAGTTCTGAGTAAGCTTCCATATGACCAACAAAGAATTGCACAGGACAAGCAGCATAAAGGGTATGATTAGAGAAGAATGACCAGAAAAGGAGGGAAACTAGGCACATAAT